ATTTTTTTTCTATGATGAAAACACTGCTGCTCACTGTTTGTAATATTGTTTTAAAATTTTTTTAGCTTAGGTGATTTTTCAGAAAGAAAACATTTCCTATTTAAAATTCCATAAAACCTCTAAAATTTTAAATAATGGAAATAATATCTGAAGTCTGAAATTGTTACTTAATAAGGAATTTAATTTTGTACTATTATGGTTTTGTTTTAATCTTTGGTTTTTGTTTTAACTCTGTAAATTTTCTTTAAAATATTTAATTTACTTTTTTGTTACTCATTAAAACACATCTGTATTTTTTTTAACACTTTCGTTTTGTGACCATTTAAAAAAAAAATTTTTTGTCGGAATTTATATTTTTCTTCCTCAATATTTATATACAGATATATATGTACATATTTTTTTTTGTTGATAAATCAGTTATTGATAAAAAAGCATGTTTTTTCTTTTTTGAATGAATTCTAATAATTAAAAGTAATTTTCTGCAAATACCTTACTAAGTTTACGGAAGAAAAAAAAATTCTTAGAACAATAATGTTTACATAAAAATTATGATATTTGCTGCCAACCTGACTTGATAGTCCAGTTGTGGCGCAAGTGGTATTTGACTGAAAAAGGTTGCTCGATCCTAACTGAAGGAATTACTATTAACACTTATTTTATTATCAAATATATTATCAATTATTTTATTAGATTGGCATTAGCCATTAAGATTGGCATTTTGTTTCGAAAAATCTGACCATTATTCAGCGTGATGTTTTTTTTTCCCCACTCACTTTACATGAATAAATTAAAATCAGGGAAATTTGATCTTAGTCTGTAAGCATCTATTACTGCTGTTTCTTATTTTACTCAGTTCTATTCCAGAGGTATTTGAGAAAAAATCATGTGTAAAATTGTTTGTGTTATAAATCATTTCCGATGTGCACGTTAATAATAATAAATTTATAAATTAAGTTTTTTATAGAAATTATTTATTTTTTTGTTTTGATATTTAGTTTAAAATAGTATTTTATTAATGATTAATTAATTTTAAGTTAATGTTTTCTTATTTATTTTGCTATGGAATGAGAAAGTAATTATCATTAAATTTAAATTTTATTTTTATGTGTTGGATATGTTATTTAATTAATTTTTCAATTTAATATGGAATGTTCTTGAGCTATTAACTAGTCTTTGTTTATTTCAATAATACTTTTATAATGCTGAAAAAGAATAAACTTCATTAAAATGTCACTAATTCTGTAATAATTTGTCTCAATATTCTGTTATATTATGGGTTGAGCTGTAAATAACTTCTGCACTGAAAGTATGCTAAAAGAGATACACCAAAACATGTTAGAGTTAAGTTGATCATATCATTTATTTCTTAAAATACAAGAAGGGCGTTTTTCTCTCTCTTAAGAACAAAAACAAAACAAAAAAAACATGTTTTAATTAATTTAAGTAACTAAATGTAAATTTTATTGAGTACGGCACCACAGCAAAATAAATGAATAAATACTAATAATAAAGCCATTGCATCTCATTATAAATAAATAAATAAAAAAAAAAGAACTGTGTCTAAAATAATGGATTAGTAATATATTATTTTTAAAAATTTTAACTTCTATTTTTAATAAATAAGTTTCCTAAATACATTTTTAACAAAATTAAAGATTCTTTGATCATTTATTTAGTCTTAGATCTGTAAAGTTTCAAAAGTTTTCTTTAAATTCATGAATCACCTACAAGACATATCGAAAATTGTCTATTACTCTACCTAATGCTATGTAGATACTGAGGATATCTATTGAAGGACAAGTTTTGTTGTAAATTGATTCTTTTTTAAAAAATGTGATTGCAGAAAAATTAATAATACTAAATAAAAATAAATTTTAAAAAAATAATAATTTGCCTCCACTTAAAAATTAATATTGTTTTACCTGTAATCTTATAATTGTTTTTTTTCTTTCAGGTCCTGAAAAGCTTATTGACAAAGTCACAGGCCACTTGAAACTTCTATGATAGTGTCTAAACAAATGTAAATAAATTATTTATTTGTTTTTATTTTTAGTGTCTATTTATTTAAATTTTTTAAAGGAACATATAAACAAAAGCTACTTTTTATTTTGAACAACTTACATTTGATGCGTTTGAATTTTACATCACAAGCATATGAGGAACAATGCAATAAATAATGGATATGTTTACACTAGTAATGAGTGCATTACAATAAAAGCTCTGGCACTTGACTACAACGAAAAGCACATAAATTTAAGACGTTTCACTCAGTTGCTCTTTTTTATGAGATGTAATTAGTTATTAATGGGTTCCCCATTGGAACTGGAGGATATTGGGGGTATTGAGGAGGAAGTACCCCATATCTGTATCCAAATAGATAACCACAGCAGTCGTACCAACCATACAGGCAGCACCTACTAATGAGAGGTGGTCTGGATGGTGCACCATTCACTTCTACTTCTTGTGCACTCACCAGGAGCAAAAAGCTTAGTGCTACTACAAGTATTTCTAAGAACTTCATTCTAAAAACAGAAAATAGTATTTGTAAGAAAGTTAATTTGATTTTCATCATTTATCAGCAAATAAAAGTCAAATGTATGTTCTTAAAAAAAGACCAGCTGCACACTGAAAGAGCAAGAGGGGTACGGAAGGTACATATAGTTCAATTCCCACACATTCACAATAGTATTCACTCATTAAGGGAGCGAGATGTGCACGTGATAATACTAACCTATGGGTTTTAAATTTCTGTATCATCCTCAATTCTCTCAGTGTTTGGCCTGCATAAGTTTTGCATAGCTAACTTTGCTAAATTTTCAAGTGGACTACTGGAATTTGCAAGTTTCTCATGGTTTAGTAAAAGAGAATATTTCCTGGTTGTTAAAAATATTAAATTTCCTATAATTGGGAAATTGTTTGAAAAATACCAAATGATGTATATTTTTATTGGAGTATTGTGTTCTAAAATTCGAATAAATATAATATTTAATAATAAAATAGACATTTTATTTAGATTTTATTTATTTTAAATTATTAAAAACTGTTTATATTTCATCAGTCTGAATATTTTTTAACCATTAAATTTTTTTTACTATTTAAAATACATTTAATATCTTTTATTTTTCAAAATTAGGAGTTAAAAAATTTAGAAAAAATAATGGTATACATTCATATTCAAGTAGATTTGGGTCTATCGGGAAAGGAGAATTTTGCATTCAATGAAAATTTGTAGTTATTAATATATAGTTTTTGTGTGTTATCTCCTTTTATTGTTTGCAAAAATCTATGTAAAAACTCTCTTTGAGGACTATTTCTTATATGGATCAATCCTCGATGTAAAATTTTTTATTATGTTGTAAGTTTTAATACATTTTTTTCTTTATTTTATCCTGACTGCTATGCTGATCGAGCATAAATTCTGAACATGCATTTTGTCCAAAATGAAGTTAAAAATGAATCTAAAATGAAGTTGTCTTCAAAAATAATGATTATTTATTGATAATGTCTAAGGAAAATATTAGTTTTCTTCATATTGAATTTATTTAGTGAAATATATTGGGAGAGGAAATTTATTTAGTTAACAGTAATATACAGTCGAACCCCGCTATAGTGAAAGGCCTCTTTAGGTATTCTTTGGCCAAGCTTTAAACAGAAACACTGAATATTTTTTAACCATTGAATTTTTTTTTTACCATTTAAAATACATTTAATATCTTTTATTTTTCAAAATTAGGTGTTAAAAAATTTAGTAAACACAATGGTAAACATTCATAGATTTGGGTCTATCGGGGAAGAAAAATTTTGCATTCAATTAAAATTTTTAGTTATTAATGTATAGTTTTTGTGTTTTATTTCCTTTTATTGTTTGCAAAAATCTATGTAAAACTCTCTTTGAGAAATATTTCCTATGTGGATCAATCCTCGATGTAAAATTTTGAACATAAATTCTAATCATGCATTTTGTCCAAAATGAAGTTAATGTATTGTGTTCAAAAATAATTATTATTTATTAATGATGCCTAAGGAAAATATAAGTTTTCTTCATATTGAATTTATTTAGTGAAATATATTGGGAGAGGAAATTTATTTAGTTAACAGTAATATACTTTTATTTTAACAAGAGGGGTTGAAAAAAGATTAAAAAGTGCCATTTCACAATAAACAAATTTTAGGTCATTATTTTCTTTCATTAATTTAGTATTATCTGGCATAAAAATTGCCAGTGTTATTACATATGTAATGAATTAATTTAATTTGACATTAAAAGTGCAGAACAGGAATAACAATATTATAGGTGTAACCATGGTGGCTCAGGGGATAGAGCTCTTGGATCACGATGCGGTGTACCGGGTTCAAGTTCCGCACTCGGCTCTCACCGACCACAGTGCTGATGTAAAATATCATCAGTAGCAGACAGATCAAGGGTTAGAGTCTCTTTGCCGTTAGGCTAACCATGAAAGGTTTTCGTGATTTTCCACTTTACGGTAACGCAAATGCAAGTTAGTTTCATCAAAAAGTCCTCCACGAAGGCAAATTTCTCCCAATACTTGATCCAGGTGTTCCCTTGTCTTCTGCATTGGGTTCCAAATTACAAGGATACGGACTTGAAAACTGGATATTCTGGCAGCTGTTCAATGACCGATGTAAAATAACATATCAAGGGTGAAGCACTGTTTTGGCTCAGGGGATAGAGTGTTCGCTTCTCAATGAATTGATGTAGCTTAAATAAATGCCAGTTAGTTCCATCAAAAAAGTCCACACGATGGTAAATTTTTCCTAATATTTGATGCAGGAGTCCCCTTTTCATCTGGATTGAGTTCAAAATTACAAGGCTACAGAGTAGAACATTAGTAGTCATAAACTCAAAATTGGGTCAGCTGTTCAATGCCGGTTATAATAGGTTATCATAGATGACCACAGCACATATGCAACGATGTGATGAGCTGAGTATTAACAGTGACACGTGAAGACTTTTTGAAAATTTAAAGAATAACATCTTTGTGAACTTAGTCAAATTCAGTAACGACACTACTTGTAGTCTTTATTCACCTGTTTTGTATTATTCACTTACTTTATCATGCTACTTTGAAAAGCAAAAATAAGGAATTTTTTCTATCTTCAAGTAATTAAAGTTTCGAAATTTTTCGCAAGCAGTTTTCTAAATTTACACAATTTTACTCAGGGCACGAAATTTTCATTCGCCATTGGCAATCAAATATTTAAGGCTGGTGAGTAGTTTCATCTTTAAAAATGTTGATTTTAAATTAAAATAGATGCACTTAGATTACTGTGGAAGTGTTTTGAATTCGAGCAACACCCATTTTTATGTATAACCTAACTGATCCAGCATTTAAAGATGTTTGTTAATTATGAAACCAAAGTTTGTTTTATTTATTCTATAATTTTTTCGATCTTCACTACTCTAACTTTCATGGAAAATAAATTTTATTTTTGGAAGCTTTAATTATTAGCTTACAAATAACATTTTCTTAGCATATTGGAAAAGTTAAATGTAGCTCGCAAAAATTTTTTTCTTCTTCACATACTGGCATTTTTTGCTAAAAACGTTGACCTCCCCCGAACTGTTTGTTTCTCTTTCTCCTCTCCATAATATTTATATGTTTTTGACGAATAAAAACTATCTTATTTCTATAATCCATAACTCAAGACATTTTTTGTTTGATAGGGGAGGGGACTGTAATTTATTGAGTAACACACTCTATTAGTACATAGTTTGATTTAAAAAAAAAGAAAACTTTAAATTAAGACTTATTGACTCTCATTCTTGTTGAGATTTCGTAGGAGAATTTTTAAGTTACAAAAGAAAAAAAAAAGCACCAGATTGTTCTAAAGTGTAGACATATTATATTTTTAAAAAATCTATATTTAATAATAAAGTTTATGTTTTATTAATATTTATTAAATTTGATGTGATGTTACTAATGTTTTGTTTTAGTACATTTTTAATCAATTGGAAATATATTTTAATTATCATATGGATTGAATCGGGACCACTCTATTCGGGAGTTTAGTTAAAGCTGTTGAGGAAGTGATTTTTCACCAGTCAAGTGTTTTTCATTCCTTATAGAAAGATCCTTTTGTAAGACAGAATTCAGCAAAAAAAACCTTCATTTTTAAAAAATTAGATCTGGATGCTACGAGACTTACATTGTGTAATATTTCACTATAAATATATTTTTGTTTTTATTTCTTCAGAAACTGTTTCGGATGAAGAAATTTTTTCTCCACTTTAATATTTTTCAGAAAACATATAAATTGGCTTATAAGCCATCTAAGTCTCACATGATTTAAAATACAGTAGGGAACCGATTATCCGGAACGATCGGGACCATCGCTATTCTGGATAACTGATTTTTCCGGTTTTCTGAATCGCTACAAAAAGCCGTTTTTTTTATTGTTAAACCCCACTAAAAATATATATATATATATTTGGAAATAATCTTAAAAAGAAGAAAAAACGATGAAGTAATACACTAATGATTATTTCCAAAATGATGGTAAGGTAAACATCTTTCAAAAAAGAAAGAAAAATCCTAAAATCTTATGAGGAAAAAAACATTTTTTTAAAAAAAATGCGGGNATAGGATCTGTACTGTATATAATAACTAACATGATGTATAAAACTTGATTCCTTTGAAATAATCAACAGTTAGATTTAATATTTTAAAAAAAAATCCAATTTTTTTTTCCAAACATAAAATTCTTTCAATATAATATCAAACAACTTATTCAAAGACTCGAATAGTTCTGAATTAAATTTTAGTGAATTTGAGAAGTAAATTAGTGTTTAAAGTTAATATTTGTTGCTCTTTTTCACTTTTCTGAATCTCTGTGTTTTTGATATAAATTGTGAAGATATATACACAAAATTTAGAAAGTTTGTTATTTTTGTCGTTTTTTATCCATGCAGCATTAAAATTATTCACATTTTGAGTGAAAGAAAATGCGTAATTCTCATTTCTACAGTTGTCAAAATGAAAATTAAACAGAATGAATAATTTTTTAGTATTACTCTTAGCCCAACAAGATATTTCTATTTAATATACCTCAATTATTGTTGGCCATTAATATGAAATCAATTAAAACATTCTATCACTTATATAAAGAAGCATTTTTTAATGAGTTATGTGTTTTCTTCCATATGTAAATCAAAAACATTTTAATAATCCTGTTGTTTATTAAAAATCAGAATAAGGAGAAATTTTTTTTTAAATGAGTTGAAGATTATAATTTGTTTTAAGTTCTTCTTCTGAAACTTTAAGTTGGTGAAATTTATATATCCTAACAACTTTGTAGACTTGCAAATTTAAAAAAAAAAAAAAAAAAATTCGATTAAAATGAAAGCAATAAAAATTTTTTGGTCAGTGATAATAATGGATCTCTTTGATCAATATTCCCAGGGATCCAGTTTCTTTTAATCGACTCCTGTATCCGTCCATGAAAAATCGAAATAATTCCTGTTTCATTTCAGGAATTTCTAGATTGTAACGCCTTTTCCTGAGCTAGATTGTTTTATTTTTTATATAAATCTTAGCAATTTTAATTTGTCCAACTAAGATTTTTATCTTAAAATGTTGTGGTAAATCAAGAACTAAATATTACATTTTATTCGATGTGGATTCTATTATATTTAGAAAGTTTGTGGGAAATAATCGAAATGGAATTATTTTATTTTTAAAAGAACAATTGAATGAAATAATCATTTTTTATTTACCTTTTATTGTCTATTTTGATAATATATATTTTAATTACGATTTCTCCAAATCACCTTCTTTGATTATTTAATATAGATAGATTCTTTATCTAATATTTTAGGAATCTATAAAGTCTAAAAAAATGAAATAAAAAGTTTTTTTATTAATTTTTATGATTTTTTTTAGGATAACTTAACATTCCTGAAAATTTTCGTACGATAACAAAATTAAATATATTTTTTTGTAGGTTTGAGAATGTCTATCTTTAACAACTAATTTCCATACATACTTAAACTAATACGAGGAATTTCGTTAATGTAATTCAGAAGGAAAAAAATAAATTCTGCGTTCTACTCTGTAAAAATTTAATTATGTACTTTTTTTGTAGAAAATGTATAAAGTTTATTTTTAATTAAAACTATTTGCATACAAAAATGATTAACTTCCGTGATATCAAAGTAAATTTAGGGTACTTACTTTTGAGTGTCAACTTATATCAAGGCGAATTTCATTGAACTTGTACCCAAACCAAAAGTTCCTTTTATATATGAACCCTTAGAGGGTTTGTTAGATAATGAGGCATTGACCTCATGTTCCTCACCTGAGACTAGTTCTAAACTAATTTCCATTCTTGTATACTCGCTTCCCCATACTTTCGGTTTGACCTTGAATTATTAGTTATCCATTTGATGTAAAAGAAGAAAAAAAAAACTTTTTTGAACTTCACAAATATTTACGTCACGTAGTTTTCAAAATTAAGTAAGTTGACCTCTAAATTGGAAACGGAAACCTGTTATTAAACGCAGTAAATTAGAGGTCGCAAACTATTAATTGCTTTCTTTCCGATTCTCTTTAAAGAAAGGTTCTTTAACTATAGATTACGACTCTCCTACAAAACTAATTATGGAGTTAAGATTATTATTTTTTTGTTGGGGAGGGGTGAAAAGCTGTACATTTTCTTACTTTCTTTAGTCTCTCACTACCACACTAGTACACTTAGTAAAAAATCAGGAGCAACTTGAATAGCTTTTGATCTAATGATAGTATTTCCCCTTGCACGATGATTCAGGGGATGCTTAAAAAACATATGCAAATTAATTGAAGCAAAAAATATTTGAAGTTACGAGATCAGGTTTGAAAATGTACATATTCTGAAAAAACATTCTCCATTCTCAACAAATTCAGAATTTTGACCGTCAAAATATTAGGGGGACTGGAAAGTAATGTCGTTTTGGTGCATTTTATATTTGTTATCAAGATCTATAATGTATTCACCCTCGTTAGCAACAATCTTTCAAAGCCGGATCGAAAATGATTTTTTTTTTACATAATTATCCAATAGTTATAATTACTTTTCATATTATTTCATACATTAACATGTGCACTGTAATGTGTGTCACTATCATTAAATTTTACTTGTTTTTTGTTACGCTATGATAAATAATATAATTCTCGGGAAACAAAAATTTAAAATTGGGACTTTTTTTGAAGGTTTATTGCCCAGAAAGTATTAGACCAGATATACACTGAGTGGCCAAATTATTATGACCACCCCTTCAGTACGCTGTTGGGCCACCTTTTGCGCGTATTACTGCCTTAATTCGTCTGGACATGGATTCTATGAGATGTTGGTAGGTAGTAGAAGGCATGCCAGACCATGCTCGCTGAACTGCACTTGCCAATTCCTGCAAATTTGATGGTACTGGATCCATCTGTCTGAGCGCCCGTTCAATTTCATCCCACAAATTCTTAATTGGATTGAGATCTGGGGATTGTGCTGGCCAACGAAGCAAGTTAAATTATCCGTCATGCTCTTCAAACCATCTGAGGACAATGTAAGCTTTATGACAAGTAGTGTTGTCCTGCTGGAAGTATCCATCCCCGCCAGAGTACACCATTGACATAAACGGATGTACTTGATCTGCGATGATACTTAAATACCTTTGGGCATTAAGGCGTTGTGGTATAGGAATTAAAGGACCCATACAATACCAAGAGAACATTCCCCATACCATAACGTTGCCACCACCAGCTTGAAGTGTCGTGGCAATGCAGTTAGGGCCATGCTTTCGTGCTGTTTTCTCCATATTCTCATCCTGCCATCTGCGCGATGCATTTTAAATCGTGTTTCATCGGACCACATGACCCTTTTCCAGTCATCTACTGTACAATGTTTGTGCTTCTTTGCAAATTGGAGACGTCTGCGCTTATTTAAAGCAGACAGTAGAGGCTTATGAACAGGTCGTCTGCTTCCATACCCTATACGGTGCAATGTGCGTCAAACAGTCCGTTCAGAGTCGTTCACAGTTTCTCCTTGATTAAGATCACTTGCAATTTGTCGCACTGTTGCTCTCCTGTTGCGTTGTCCAAATTTGGCCAGCCTTCTCTCTGATCGAGCATTCAGTATCCTGTGACGACCACAGGTCTGACGTTGAGACCCGGTTTTTTGCTTGATTGTCCATTCTTTGTACACATTAACAACTGCTGCTCTAGAACACTTCACAACTGCAGCCGTTTTGCTGATACTCGTTCCGACACATCTCGCACCCACAATCATTCCACATTGAAATTCAGTCAAATCACTTTTCTTTCCTATATCTGAGCATGCAACACAGTATAACTAATGACTCACTTGTCCAGCATTCCCGAGCGGCAGCGCTGTGACGCAATAACTCATTTGCATAAAACTCTGAGGCGGTCATAATAATTTGTCCACTCAGTGTATATTGCGTAGACCAGATATATATTTCTAATATATTGCGTGGTATATAATTATGTAATAAAAATAATAATTTAAAATTATTTTTTGCATGCTTTAGTCTTTTAATAAGCGAGTATTTTAACTGTGGGCGAGCGTTTTTTTTTTTTTTAAAATTCTCTTTGTTTCTTAAACCAGGGGTTTGTAGTTTGCAAACTTTTCCAACTTAAGGTTCCTTTACTAGATTTAAAATTGCCAGAAGACATCGTCGTCAAAAATATTTATCTACGGTATAATATTTACTTTATATTCTCTTNGGTACAGGAATTAAAGGACCCATACAATACCAAGAGAACATTCCCCATACCATAACGTTGCCACCACCAGCTTGAAGTGTCGTGGCAATGCAGTTGGGGTCCATGCTTTCGTGCTGTTTTCTCCATATTCTCATCCGGCCATCTGCACGATGCATTTGAAATCGTGTTTCATCGGACCATATGTCCCTTTTCCAGTCATCTACTGTCCAATGTTTGTGCTCCTTTGCAAATTGGAGACGTCTGCGCTTATTTAAAGCAGACAGTAGAGGCTTATGAACAGGTCGTCTGCTTCCATACCCTATACGGTGCAATGTGCGTCAAACAGTTCGTTCAGAGTCGTTCACAGTTGCTCCTTGATTAAGATCACTTGCAATTTGTCGCACTGTTGCTCTCCTGTTGCGCTGTCCAAATTTGGCCAGCCTTCTCTCTGATCGAGCATTCAGTACCCTGTGACGACCACAGGTCTGACGTTGAGACCCGGTTTTTTGCTTGATTGTCCATTCTTTGTACACATTAACAACTGATGCTCCAGAACACTTCACAAGTGCAGCCGATTTGCTGATACTCGTTCCGACACATCTCGCACCCACAATCATTCCACGTTGAAATTCAGTCAAATCACTTTTCTTTCCTATATCTGAGCATGCAACACAGTATAACTAATGACTCACTTGTCCATCATTCCCGTGTTATAGTTATCTTGCCCTCTAGCGGCAGCGCTGTGACGCAATAACTCATTTGCATAAAACTCTGAGGCGGTCATAATAATTTGGCCACTCAGTGTATATTGCGTAGACCAGATATATATTAGACCAGAAATATATTTCAAATATATTGCGTAGTATATAATTAGGTAATCAAAATAATAATTTAAAATTATTTTTTGCATGCTTTAGTCTTTTAATAAGCGAGTATTTTAATTGTGGGCGAGTATTTTTTTTTAAAAATTCTCTTTGTCTCTTAAACCAGGGGTTTGTAGTTTGCAAACTTTTCCAACTTAAGGTTCCTTTACCAGATTTAAAATTGCCAGAAGACATCGTCGTCAAAAATATTTATCTACGATATAATATTTACTTTATATTCTCTTTGTTCAAATTATCCGGACACACAGTGGAACAGATTCGGAGAATCTTAACCTGAGGGATGTAGTAATAAGATTCTGGTCCTTCTTTTGCATTGGATGACAGTCTGCACACGTTTGGAAGGACTTTCCAACAATTTTTAATAGGTGACCATAAGAATTGACTTCCAGGTGTCCACCAAAGGTGACGTAATTGTTGGCAATGGTGATTTATTTTATTTTATAACCGTCGTTGATCAGCCGACTAAATTTTGAGTTTACGATTACCAATGTGTAACTCCGTAGCCTTGTAATTTTGAACCCAATCCTGAAGATAAGGGAACTCCTGATTAAGTATTGGGAGAAATTTACCGTCGTGGTGGACTTATTGATGGAACTAACCCGCATTTGTGTCACATGGAGAGGAAAATTACGAAAACCTCCCACGGTTAGCCTGACTTCAAGGGGACTCTAACCCATGATCTATCAACCATTGAGGGTATTTAATGTCAGCACTGTGGTATCGACCAGCTACCGTTAATCATAAATACCGTATAAATATCGACCAGCTACCGCTGGGATTCAAATCCGGTTACCTCATTAGAAGACGAGCACTTTATCCCCTGAGCCACATGTATCTGGCAATGATAGTGGTCTATTTGGCTAGTTACGTATTCTGTTTTTTAATTCGTCACTAATGGAGCATTCTTATCGAATGCGGTTGCTGCACTTCCATCGTCGTCGATGAAATATGAGAACTTGATTGGTTCAGAGATGCAGTAACTGCCTACGGTGAGAAAGCAAACTATGTTGTTTTTGTTTGATTTAGTTGAAAAACTGAGAAGGCCAGTTCAGTTATTAAACACTCATTTTCTCAAACCGTGATTGTGCAAGTCTCGATGTTTGAATGGAGCAATTATTTTCTTAGTAGCTTCCTCGAAATATTGCCATATAGTTGGGCGAGTAGTACTGTCCATAATGTCCACGTACATTTTAGAGTTCGTGTTTCAAACCACAAGAACCGAACTAGGAAAAACTTCCTGCACCATGATATTATAATGGATATTCAGATAGTTTTAGTCAGATATGGTGAGCTGGTGTACCATTATAAAGCATGTTTTATGTGTGTAAGACTATAAAACAGAAACTATGGAAGTAATTGGTAAAATGTAATTATAGTTATGCAACTCCTACTGAAAACCCTTCAAGTCTTCTAATCGTAATTAATATGATATTTGAATAATATTGTGAATTTGTTGAGATGGTGGGCCTCCGTGGGAGCAATATTTTTCAGCCAAGCCCTCTAAAGTGTGGAGGTAGTGAGTTTGAATCCTTTCTTAACCCTGGATGTAGTATTGTGTTATCTGTTTGTAGCGTATCTACCACTACAAAATTACAACTACAATTCAGTAGTATATAAGACATGATAACTCGATTCTATGTTGGGGTACTTTTTCATAGATGAAGGTTGACATTGTCGATACCTACTCTCCCCACATTGGTGACCTTCGGACGTGATGTGAACACGCCTACATTGGCAGTAACGCCTACTTCGATGGATGGTTCACATTGAACAGTTGACTTGTTACTTGTGACTGCGACATTAGTCACTTCCTCGCACTTTTGCTACTCTGTCTTGTCTCGATCACACACAACGTCAACCTGCATACACCCGACTGCTAAAGGCAGCACAGGAGCGACTACGACCATGATTTTAATACAGCTCTCATGGACCCGGTTCAAAACCCGGTGACCTTAATCCAGCT